TTCCTTCCTTCCTTCCTTCCTTTCTTCCTTCCTCTTTCTCTCCCTCCCTCCCTCCCCCCCCCAGAGTTAGCCTGCAGTACTGCATTCTGTGGTGGTTCAGTAGTTAGAATGTAGTATTGCAGGCAAACTCTGCTCGCTGTCAGGAGTTCGATCCTGACCGTCTCAAGGTTTTCCATCCTTCCATCCTTCTGAGGTTGGTAAAATGAGGACTCAGATTGTTGGGGGAAATAGGCTGACCCCGTAAACCACTTAGAGAGGGCTGTAAAGCACCATGAAGCAGTATATAAGTCTAAGGGCTACTGCTATTCAAGCCACTGCACCACCACGGCTCCTATTATCTATTTTATTCAGACACGATTTTTTTGAGGTAGAGTGTTAACAGTTCACCATATCCTTAGTGAGATAGTGAAAATAATAATGCCCTTCCATACATCTAGGATACTCCATGTTTAGGAAAAAGAACCGATAAGGAGATTAATACTGGTCGTCTTTGACTTTCAATTATTTGTTTAGTAACTGTTCAAAATTAACAACAGCAAAGAAAAAGGCAACTTAAGACCATTTTTCACATTTACCATTGTTGCCGCATCCCCTGATGGTCACGTGATCAAAATTCAGATGCTTGGCAACTGACTCCTATTTAGGAAAGTTGCAGTGTCCTGGGATCACGTGATCCCCTTTTGCGACCTTCTGACAAGCAAAGTCAATGGGGAAGCCAGATTCACTTAACAACTGGGTGAGTAACTTAACAACTGCAATGATTTGCTTAGCAACTGTTGGCAAGAAAGATCGTAAAATGGGGCAAAACTGCCTTACCAAGTCTCTTGTTTAGCAATGGAAAACTTCGGCCTCAGTTGTGATCGTAAGTCGAGGGCGACCTGTAGACAAAATGTATGATGGAGGAAGAGTTTAAAGTTTTGCTAAAGAGTTTAACAAAACCTCCATTTCACAGACGTTCTGAGGGACGGAGATGCTGTTCCAGAGTGCAGGGTGGTATCTCCTACACCAGCGGTCCTTAGAGAAGGCACATCTCCTAGATCAGGGGTCCCCAACCTGTGGGCCGTGCAGCCTACTTGCAATCGGGGTGCATGAGTGGCTGGCTGGTGTCTATGTCGGAGGGGCTCAGGGCCCCACTCACATGAGTGTTGCAGGTGCTCAGAGCCTTGTGGTGCTCAGGGCCTCAGGGTGTCACAGCCACTCAGGGCCCAATTCACGTGGGTATTGGGAGAACTCACAGTCCCTCTTGCATGGGCGTTTGCAGCCCAAATCACGTGAACATCACAGGCACTTTGTGGCCCCACTCACGTGTGCAATCTACCCCTCCCACAAAACCATTCCCTCTTTGCCTCCTCCGGGACAACCTGGAAAGGTTGGGGAACTCTGCCCTAGACTGCCTTTGGATGGGGACCAGAGGATGCCGAACCTGTCTAGATGCATTGGATTAATACAGTAGTCTGGCTTAGGGCTGTCTAGAGTTAAGAGAAGAATATATGTGTACATTTATCACAATAAAACATTTTGACCTGGGAATGTTTTCTAACATGCACATATTTGTGCTTGCATGCACACCCACCCACTACCACTCATACCTTGGGGTCAAGTTCACATCAAGTTCACATTCTGTACAGAAAGATAAGAGAAAACTAGTGAAGCTAAAGTCATTTGGCTCCTGGGCCAGAGGGGTTGGGCCGATCCAATAAATGCATGGACCTAAGGAAGTCTTGTTGAAAACACGATGGGCTACAGCTTCTGCTGTCTTTAGCAAGCCCGGTGATACTGTTGGAAGAATGACAGAAGGGTAGATCAGGGAGTTGGCTAGGGTTGGGTTGGCTCTTGCTCAGGTTTTCTTCGCACTGCTCTTTTGGATCAGGCTGTCCGCTCTCTGCCGGCGCCAATCACAGATGTCAACAAAGGCGCAATAGGAGCATTTCCAAGTGTCTTCAATGTCTACTCCCTTGGGATCCCTTTGCCCTTTCCAATAGGCTAAGAAATAATGGGACATGGACATCAACTCATCATGGTCATAGGTGATGACTTCGCTGCCCAGCAACGTGTTGGTCTCCTGATGAATGTACTCAATTTGAAGTCGGTCAATGGCTAGAATGTCTGAGTGGGTCAAGTTGAGGAGCACCAGCTCCAGGAGGTCTTCGAAGCACTGCACCACGAATCCAGCTTTTTGTGCATGTTCTTGGATCTCCTGGCCAAGCAACTGTTTGGGCTTCAGATGAAGGTGATGTACGAAGATATCTTGGGTTAAGCATCCTTGCACCATGGCATCAAAGAGATGTTTATATAAAGAGACCTGCAATGAATCAAGCACACTTTCTTGAGCTACATCCAATTTTCAGCCTCACCTGTGTCTCATATTTTGATCACATGACTGTAGGGATGCTGGGATGATCATTGGAATTCATTGTTGCAATGTATTTTTATGCAACAACTACAGTAGCATTCCGCCAGTAGATGGCAGTGTTTACAACTCTGGATCTATGGTCTTTTGTTCCAAGTAGAGTTCCCTGTTCCCTGTTACAGTTAAAATAATCGAGCAGTAAAGCACATGGTGACTGTACTTTTTGTTTGCTCTGTAGTACTATGTATAAACAGAATTTCTAATACATAAGTGTAAAGATGGGTTGTAAGTCCCTTTTTTCAATGCCATTGTAACTTTGAATGGTAACTAAATGAATGGTTGTAAGTTGAGGACTACCTGTATTTAGATGTATATGAGAGGTTATTGGGGTTAGATATGCCCACTGTAAAGATTTAATACATATATCCTGCATGGATATGTCTCATGTCAGGGGTCCCCAACCTTTTGGACCTCAGGGACCACTAAATTCAGAATTTTAAATCCCACGGACCAGAGACCCTGGGAAAATCCCCCCAAAAGTCTGCAGGAAAATTCTCCACTTTGTTTTCCTATCGATCGATCATTCTTTATTTGGGGTCTCAGGATACCGTCTCCAGCTCTGTTCTCAAGGGAGGGGGGAGAAGGAGAGACTTCGTGAAAGATGGTTTCCTGCAAAGACAGCGGCAGAATCAGCAGAAGTCTTTCTTTCTCTCCCCCAAATTCTGCCAGAAATGAGTCTTTGTGAGACTTGTCATGCCAGCGCAGCCTCTTGGAGCAGGAGGCCTTGCAGGGTCCCAAAGACTCATCTCTGGCGGAGTTTGGGGGAAAGAAAGAAAGACTTTTGCTGCTTTCCTTGCGTGCAGCCAAAAGCAGAAGAAGAAAGAAGTGGAAAGAAGCAGCACTGTGGCCAGGCCAGGCGCATGGGGCGAGTGGGGCAAGTCACTACCTCGTGTTGTTCGCAATGCAAGCGACGCAAGCCTTGTGTTCCCGCACAGCCTGGATTAATTACTTTGGGGTGTGCTTTGGAGGTCACATTTCTCTGTGGACCAGCAAAATTTTCTCGTGGAGCACCAGTGGTCCCCGACCCACTGGTTGCCGACCACTGTCTCATGCTATCCTTCAGACTGCCAAAATAATTATTTATTGGTTCCTCTAAGTCTAAACCCCAGGATCCTTTGGTGCATTTACTACTGTTGACTTCAAATAAAATCTGATAACATTTCCAACGTGTACTCTTCAGTTCTAAGCAACCATGATTAAAATATACCAGCTATGAAAAAGATTGGGCTATCTCTGCTGGCCCCACATTAAATCTGAGCCAGCCATGTGATACAGCGGGTATCAAATACTATCAGGGATGGGAGGCAATTAACACAGAGAATTCAGATCTTGAAAAGTAATTTTCCCCATGTTTATTTCTCCCTGGCCAGACTCTATTTGGAGTATGGGATCTAGTTTTGGAGATAATAGCACCGTAGTCTTCAAATCTAAGATGGACTGTCATGTGGGTGAAAAAAATGAGCTTATTTTCTTTCGTTTCAGAAGGCAGGACCAGAAAGTCAAGTCAGACTGCAGAAGAAATCATCTGACTTTATGAACTGCCGGCTGTTGGAAAGGGCTTTCATACGAAGGGTTAAATTCCCCTTCACTTTTAAGAAGTGTGGACTTCAACACCCAGATTTCCCCAGGCAGCATGCTGGCTGGGTGGATATTGGGAGTTGGAAGCCCACCCATCTTAAAAGTGGCCAAATTTGAAAAACACTGATCTAGTGGCTCCTGCACTGAGCTGGTAGGTGGATTAGATCAGCAGCCCCCAACTTGTGGCTTGGTGGCCTGGCTGGGGGTGTGGGGGGGGGGAGGAGAGAGGCAAACCAGTCCATGTGAGGGGTGGGCCTGCGCATGTTCAGTTGGGCTTGCATGATGGCCCAATACGCATGCAAGTCAAGCTGTTTGTGTGTGCACAGACAGTCATATATGCCGGCTTGCTGCTTGTGTGACCCGGTTACAAATAGGCCGTGGTCCGGAGGTTGGGGACCCCTGGATTAGATGACTTAACAGATAATCAGAGTTGGAAGGGACCTTGTAGGTCATCTAGTCCAACCCCCTGCCCAAGTGGGAGACACTACACCCTTTCTGACAGATGGGAGTCCAACCTCTTCTTGAAAGCCTCCAGTGATGAATCTCCCACTTCTGAAGGCAATGTCTGTTCTACTGTCAGAAAGTTCCTCCTTATTTCCAGGTTGAATCTCTCCTTGTTCAGTTTCCATCCATTATTCCTTGTCTGGCCTTCAGGTGCCTTGGAAAATAGCTTGACACCCCCCCCCCCCCGGCAGCCCCTCACAGGAAGGAACCTTCTAAGTTCCTTCCCAACTTAAGTATGAATGCAGCTCTTAGGTCTTTTACTGACTCTACTGAATCCATGGTCTGAATGCAGCCAATTCCCTCCCTGTATCCAGGTTCCAAGACAGCCAGCCTAAGGCCTCCAACCTCACCCCGACCCACCTGGAAACGGTCCCTTTTCTTCTGCGCAGGTACAGGCATGTAGGCTTTTTCCCTTGTCTTCAATTCATTCAGTTGCAATTCCCCTTTAGCCGTATAATTCAGCTGATCAATAATCCCAAACACAAAAACGCCTTCTAATACGCCAAAGACTGGACATTCCCGCACACGTTGACCTGTCAGGGAGAAAACCACATATAAGCACCTTTGCCATCCTGAGGGGCGTGGGGAGCGTTCCATGACCAGCGTACCCACCTTCTCGTAGATTAGTTATGGTCAGGAGGACGTTAAGCAGCTTGATGGCCCATCTGTCTTCTCTGCTCCTAGTCTTGACGGGCACCAGGTTATGATCTTGCAGTTCTGGATAGAAGCAGCCACAGAGAAAGAACGTTGTTTTTCTGCTCTTAAAATGAGCCACGTGCCTCTATAGCACAGCTGTCAAACTCGCTGTGTCACGTTGCCGTCACGTGGTGTATCGCGACGTTTTTCCCTGTCACGGAGCCGGGAAGGGCAAGGCGCGTGACACATCCAGCCTGTGTGGGCCACCAGTTTGACACCCCTGCTCTATAGCAACACGGCACGATGGCCTAGTGATTAAAATACTACGATGCCCACAGATCTAGTAGTAATTAATAAGATACTTCAATGCGAAGAAATGGTTAGACTAACAATGTTACTAAAGAACAGGGAAGAAGAAGAGTATTTTACGATATGGAATATATGGTATAAATGGTTAAGAAAAAGGAGTACAGATGTTTGCGAAAATGACTAAAGAAATTTCAAAGAAGAATATGATATATGATTTATATGTATATATGTAAAGTAATGTAGATAAATAAGTATTGTATTTTAACAGTAGTGTGGTAATCAAGGAATGAGTAAATTAGTTACAGACATACCTAGGGTAAATTAATCTAATTGTTATGGTATTAAAGCACATATACAGTGCTATGATATCGCTGTAAAATGTGAGAACTTGTTTCTCTTTTTAAAATTTTTGAAATTGTGAAGAAATAAACTATTAAATTTTTTTTTAAAATGCTGGGCTTTTCAACTTTAAGATTGGCCGTTTGAAACCTAAGCACCGCATGACAGAGTGAGCAGGTCGAAAGAATGCGAGTAGATAAATAGGTACCACTTTGGTGGGAAGGTAACGGTGTTCCATGCGACTCAGCATAGAGCAGAGGTGTCAAACTCGCATCATCACATGACATAATGGACATTTCCCCCCTTCACTAAACCAGGCCGGGGTGGAACCAGCATGTAATGCATCCAGCCCGTGGGCTGCAAGTTTAACACCCCTGGCATAGAGTCACACTGGACACACATCACGATAGAAGCATCTTTGGACAACATTGGCTCCCTCAGCTAGGAAGTGGAGGTAAACACCTCCCCCCTAGAGTTGGACATGACTGGATAGAGGAAACCTTTACCTTTTACTCTAGAGCAAATTGCCGCCCCCACTTCCCACAATTACTTTCCTCGTTCCCCTTCACTGGCTTCCAACACAAATAGCAGCTCAAACAGTGCAAGTGGTCCTCGACTTACAACGACTGGCTGTTCGAAGTTACATTTATGAATGTTGCAGCATCCCCACAGTTAATGGGATTAAAATTTGAGTGCTTGGCAACCGGCATGTGTTTATGTCACTAGTTGCAGCATCCCTGGGTTTGACAAGTGGGAGAGGCCAGTTTCCTTTAACAATCTCACGATTCACTTAACTATAGTGATTCGCTTAACAACTGTGGCAAAAGAGTCACAACATTGGGCGTGACACTCTTAATAACTGCCTCACAAAATTCTGGTCCCAATTGTGTGATTGTTAAGTCTAGGACTATCGGTAGCTCCTGTTTAGAATTACATCCAGTCAGTTGGCTGTGCCCTTTCTCAGACATGCCATTACATTATTACTCTGGTCTATTTGAGGACCAATTCCCAGGCATCAGGATGGCCCTTGCACTATGCTTTAAATTTCTTTTGAAAGGGGCAAGTTTTACTGTCTCTTCCTTGAGTTTTTAGGGAGATCTGTGACTCTCCTTTTCTTCTGCATTATTATTCTTGCTTTCATTTATTTTTTTTATTATATAAAATACAAAGAAGAGAAGAAAAAATAGGAAATTAAGAGAAGGAAAGGGAGCGGGGGGAAAAGGAAAGTGAGATACAAGGGGAAAAGAAAAAGAAAGAAAAGGGGGCATTGACTTCCAACTCTCCTTAGCACAGTACAAGATAAACACGCTCAAACCCCAACTTTTTGCTTTTACACATTAATATATAACTAGCCATTTCTATAACACCGTATCTTTCTAATCAACAAAAATCAAGGTCAAAGTTTCATCTTTTTTTTTTCTTCACAAGCACAAATTCTAGAAGTGATGTTCAAATAAGAACACATTTTCCTCTTTAAATAAAATCCCTGCATTATACAGCAACTATAAATCTGGTTTCGTTCAGCCATTTTTATGGACTTCAACTTCCAGAATTCTGGCTGGCCAGGGAATTCTGGGAATTGAAGTCGACATGTCACCAAGATTGAGAAACACTGGTTTAAAGGATTATGCCATTTCCCCCTTAAAAATGATGAGAAACTACATGGCCTTAATTTGAAGCAATCACAGGCCAGGTTGGGGATGGACTAGCAGCTTTATTATAACAATAGCAATAGCACTTAGACTTATACACTGCTTTACAGCCCTTTCTAAGCAGTTTACAGAGTCAGCCTCTTGCCCCCACCAATTTGGGTCCTCATTTTACCCACCTCGGAAGGATGGAAGGCTGAGCCAACCTTGAGCCTGGTGGGATTTGAACTGCCAAACTGTTAGGCAGCTGGCTGCAGAAGTAGCTTGCAGTACTGCACTCTAACCCCTGCATCACAGAGGCTCCTTATCATGCAGGAAACACCCACTATTTTACAGATAGAAAATATGAGGGTGTTCATAACAGCTCAAGGATCCTATTTCCCACCCCTTGCAATGCAACCCATTAAAGAAAGTATAGAGAAGACTAGAATTTACCCCAAACATCCAAATGACGTTACCTCTGGCAAGATGGATGGACTTTCCTGTGTTTAACACAACCGTTGTCTTCTCTGGCAATTGCACGCTTGGCTTTTCTTTGTGATAAACTACCTTTTGCTCACACCACACTTGAGCCGAGAGATCTGTGACGCAAAGATAGCGCAGGTAGAAAGCTTCGAGAGGCGTCCTCGGTCTCTTTCTCTTTATTGTCCTCCTCTTCCTTTCTCCTACATTAGCAGTCCGAGAATCAACACGCTGACCACTTAGGAGTTTGGGTTCCCTGTGATGAGCATGCAAGAAGTTCGGATTATCATGTCCCCAAAGTGCTTTTTGAAGAGGCAACTGGACTTTCCGGTTTTTCTTTGAAGATGTTTTGTTTTGTCAGAGTGCGCACAGCTTCAGTACGTGAGACAACCCAGGAGCAATAATAGCAAACGGAGGTTTGTAATAAATAGTGGTTTTGTCTACAAAAGAATATATACTATACATACACGTACTATAGGCAGAGGCCAAACAAGCAGCAATTAAAATAGGGAAGAACACACAGTGAGAGAGAGAGAGAGAGACACACCCTGACAGGGCCTCTTCTTCTTATACAGGCTCTTAAAGGGATAACAGCCAAAAACCTTGCTGATTCATTCCCATCATTGCATTAGCTGGTTAGCTCTTAAATCACTATCCTGACACGCTTCTCATCCAAGAAGCTTCTTCAGGTCTGACTGGATGGTGGGGAATGGAAGGATTTATACTCCTTGCAGACAGCTGGTCATTTGCATTCTTTTAGTGGGTCCTTAAGGCCACCTGAAGGTTTACCTGTGTCATCAGGGTCACCTGAGTGGTGCAAATGAGTGTGGAGCCTTCTTGGAACTGTTGAAAGGACTGTGTTGTAGATTGGAGATAGATGGTGTCATATTCCTCCATCTCTGTTGAGAGAGGGCTGTTCAATTTTGACATAGATGGCTTCTTTGATCCCTCTTTCAAATCAGTGATCCTCTCTGTCCAAAATGTGGACTTTGCTGTCTTCAAAAGAGTGGCCTGTGTCTTTTAAATGCAGACGGACTGCTAAATCTAGACCTGATGGGTTTGTTCTCCCATTTCCAGTCAGAGCTGAAGAAGCTTCTTGGATGAGAAGTAAAACGACTTCAAAAAAAAAACAGGAAAGTCCAGGAAAGTCCTGAAAAAGCACCTTTGGGACAACTATCACCTGGATAACTGAGAAGTTCTACAGACCAACACACACACACACACACACACACAGAGAGAGAGTGAGTGAGTTTCTGGGTAGCTGATCACCTGGTTTGATGAGTACATGGATTTTTTTTTAATACAGTTTGTTCTACAGCATTTTGTAATTTAGAGGCTGTTTTTGTGTATTTTGTTATTTGATTTTAATTAGTTTGTCTAGCAATGAGTTGGGTTTTTTTTTAAAAAAATCTTGTTTAACAAATCCTAGATGCTGGCTTCCTTGTGGGTTTTAATCCTGTCTTGAATCCTGTCTTACCAAATCTGCATTTCTAAAAGTTGGCCCCTTAATTTCGACTTGGGGCAGAGAGCTGAGTTTCTGAGTTTCTGTCTTTAGAAACATGTTTCTCCTTTAGGGAAACTAGAATATTCTGCCTTTTCAAATAGTTCCTGAAATATTCCAATCTTCTAAGAGGGGTGAGTGCTAACTTTCTACCCATGCAACGGGTTAGTGAACCAGATAAAAGGGAGATCCAGAGATTTCTTTTATGTATACTGAGAGTAATTTGCACCAAATTCCTTGTGTGTCCAACCACACTTGGCCAATAAAGAATTCTAATTCTAATTCTATTCACGGATTGTCTTAAAGAGTCCACAAGTCTTGAAGTTGCCAAGGTTGGAGACCCCTGATTTTAAAGGTATTCAGTAGGATCACATCCCAGAAAAGAGTAACAAGAATCATAGAGATGGGAAAGCTAAGTCATTGACTCCCGGCCTGTTTAGGATTGCATTTAGGATAGCACATTATTTTGCCTTTCAATGGGGGTGTAATATTGCAGAAAGTGTCTTTCTACTTTTAATCCTGGCCAGGCAGGTTTTTTCCCCTTTTATTTATTTTATTTATTAAACTTTTATGCCGCCCGCCTCCCTTACAAGGTGACTTTGGACAGCTTCCCCCCTACTTTTGTTAAATCCCCAAGAGAGCGCAAATGCGGGCAGCGGAAAAAAAAACACGGAAGCCACAAAACGGCTTCGCTTTAACAGATAATCAGAGTTGGAAGGGACCTTATAGGTCATCTAGTCTAACCCCCCCCCAAACGGGAGACCCTACACCATTTCTGACAAATAGCAGTCCAATCTCTTCTTGAAAGTCTCAAGTGAGACTTTAGTCCCGTTGCACATCCCAGCTGCAACACGAGTTCGATCCCCCAAACGCGGCTTAACCATTTAAAAAAAAAAGCGGCGCAACCGAGCCCGTTAAGTTCGTGGATGGCTCTGGGGACCCCGCACAGCAGGGACGGGACTCCAACCGAGGTTTTGTGAACCGGGGCCAGCCCGTCACGCGAACGCAACTCTGGAGAAACTCCCCCGCACACCGCTCACCCGATCTTCGGCTCTTCTATCTGCAAGAACTCGGAGTCGCTCAGGTCAGAAAAACCCGAGGCGGCCTCGGGGTCTTGCAATCCGGATTCACGCCCGGACATGTTTCGCGCTTTGTTTTCTCCTCGAGCAGAATCGCCGTCAGCTGCTCGAAGGAGAAGCCTAAGTGAATAACTGCACCGCTTTGCTTTCTTTCCGGCTGAAATATGATTTCCCTCCTTCCTTTCGTCTTCGTTCCGGTTCCCGCCCACCCAGAGATATAGAGACGCCTCCCCGACGAGGGAGGTGTGGATGTTGAGACCTTAGAAAGAGTGCAGAGAAGAGCAACCAACAGGATGAGGGGACTGGAGGCTAAAGCACAGGAGGAAAGGTTGCAGGAATTGGGTAGGTCTAGTTCAGGGAGTCTTCAAACTTGACAGCTTTAAGACTTGTGAACTTCAACTCCCAGAATTTCTCCTCCAGTCATGTTAGCTCGGGAATTCTGGGAGTTGAAGTCCACAAGTCTTAAAGCTGTCAAGTTTGAAGACCCTTGCTCTGCGTCTTCCACCACCACCTTACAAAATGAATGCAGAGGTGTCAAAGTTCGCATATAAAACTCTTCCTTTTGTCGTGTCTTGAAGGTAAGGCAGGAATGTTATCTTTTTGAGGGTTACGGTTGGAATCCTGAAACTACTGTTTTTTAAATGAAGCCTGGCTCAGTGGCCCGTGGAACTTCATGCCACAGCAAAGAAAGCAATTGTCCATCCAACAAGGCTCCTGGAGTGAGGAGGGGCAAACAAGCCAAGAGACAGCTTTGACACCAAATATTTTTTTAAATTATGAATTTTGCAAGACACATTTAAGCAACAAAATATACATGTTTACCCTTCTGTAGAATTCTTTTTATGCAATGACAAATACAAGAGGCTACCATAGCAACAAATTAAATATACATTATGCATTGCACACATCAGCAACCTGCTATGAAGCATTGCTTCTTAACACAAAGAAAAATACTTCGTTTCTTCCTAAATTTTTACAAAATCCTAGTCTTCACAATCTCACTGAACTTTAGGAACACAATAATGGGAATTCCCCCCCACCCCCTGCTGTATCAAAACAGAGGAGTAAGATATATGCTGGTACTCTTCCCCCAAAAAAATAGCATTTTAAAAAATTTTATTGCAGTACCATGCTTCATTTCTGAAAGCCAAAAAACCTTTAATAAAAGGTATCAATGCATGTTTTTATGTTTTTCTTTCTGTTCAACAAAAACAACAGCTTTAAGACTTGTGGACTTCAACTCCCAGAATTCCTCCTCCAGTTATGTTAGCTCAGGAATTCTGGGAGTTGAAGTTCACAAGTCTTAAACTTGCCAAGTTTGAAGACCCTTGGTCTAGTTGATTGAAAAGAAGGGCTGCTCCAGGATTTGAGGGGTTGCCACAGAGAAGAGGGAGTCAGGCTATTTTCCAAAGCACCTGAAGGCAGGACAAGAAGCAATGGATGGAAACTAATCAAGGAGAGAAGCAACCTAGGAGAAATTTCCTGACAGAACAATGAATCAGTGGAACAACTTGACTCCAGAAGTTGTGAATTCTCCAACACTGGAAGTTTTTAAGAAGAGATTGGACAGCCATTTGTCTGAAATGGTATAGGGTTTCCTGCCTGAACAGGGGGTTGGACTAGAAGACCTCCAAGATCCCTTCCAATTCTGTTATCCTAATGCTAAAAAAAAAGAAAAAGAAAGAAAGAGGGGCTCAACCTATTTTTCAAAGCACCAAAATAAGAAACAACTGATGGAAACTAATCAAGGAGAGAAGCATTTAGAACTAAAAAGGCCTTTTCTTTGTGGTCTGTGCTGTTCTTACTTTTAATCAAGATAAGATATCTCTAGGCAGAATCATATTGGCTAAGGCAGCATTTCTTCACCTGAGTAATTCCCAGGTATGTGGACTTAGGTGACTGGAGGCTAAAATATATGAATGGTTGCAGAAATTGGGTATGGCTTGTATAATGAAAAGAAGGACTAGGGGTGAAGTGATAGCAGTATTCCAGTATCTGAGGGGCTGCCACAGAGAAAAGGGGGTCAACCTATTTTCCAAAGCCCCTGAAGGCTGCAGAACAAGAGGCAATGGATGGAAACTAATCAAGGAGAGAACCAGCCTAGAACTAAGGAGATAGTGAGAACAATTAATCCGTAGGACAACTTATGGATGTTCCTACGCTTGTCCTGAAGGGTTAAAGTTTCTAAGTTGGAAAAACATTGATCTTTATCCTGCCTTTGTTTTTTTTTATCTATCTCACTGATCAATGTTTTTCCAGTAAAAATGTTTTTTTAAAAATTTAAAAAACATTTTTTATTTTTAAATTTTTAAATAACAATCCTAAAAGAGAATACACCCCCACTATGTGTGTGTGTGTGTGTGTGTGTATGAATATGTGTGTGTACCCAATGCACTAAACTTAATCTGTTGATATTTCAACATTTGCAGTATTCTTGGATAAGTCACTGTCTAGCAAAATGAAGCCTCCACATTCAAGAGCAGAGCGATGCTTGTTCCCTAAAGTTCTTCGGGTATTCTCGGGAAATGGATTCAGAATGGAGGCCCCAACCATGAGATAAAAACCCCATATTTTTTACATGTGGTGCAATGCCACCAAGAGATGCTGAGTTCTAATCCTGCCTTTGACATGAAACCTGGCTGGATGTCTTTGAGCCAATCATTAGGAGACTGTGAATTCTACTCCCGCCTTAGGCATGAAAGACAGCTGGATGACTTTCTGCCAGTCTCTTTCTTTCAGCCCAACCCACCTCACATGATTGGGTGTTGTGAGGAAATTAGGAGGAGGAGGAGGTGTATGGGAAAAATTCACTGCCTTGAATTATTTGTTGACATAATAAAAACTAGATGCAAATAAATAAATAAAATTAGGTATGTTTGCCACTTTGAGGTATTTATGAAAATAGGGCTAATAGGATACACATCAATTTTGACTTTTTGGACTCTCTCCCCGTGGACACCTTTGAGTGTTGTCCTCTTCAAATATGTATCATTTTTCTGCAAAACAAATGATCGGAAAAGATTGATACTGTGCAATTTGTTCAATTTGTTGTGCTGTGCAATTTGTTGGAAGTTAAGGGAAAATGGTTTTTTTGGGAGCATTTATGTCAAGTGTTTCTCAAACTTAGTAAATTTAAGACATATGAACTTCAACAGGTTGGGTTGGGAATTCTGGGAGTTTAAGTCCACATATTGCCAAGTTTGAGAAAACTGATTTATGCGTTCCTGCCCCACCCCCCAAATCTTAGCATCCAATTCAGAGTATCCAAAATCACAAGTCATCTGTTCTGGCTTATAGCCTTCAAGGCAGGGGTCTCCAACCTTGACAACTTTAAGACAAAGAAAATCTAGCTGAGGAACTCTGGGAGTTGAAGTCCACAAGTCTTAAAGTTGCCAAGGTTGGAGACCTTTGCTTCAAGGAATATAAGTATGACCTTCCACTTTCCACTAGAGGGTGATCTAATCTCTAATATTAAGGAAATAAAACTAAAGAACTTAACAACACCAGAAAATGACTGATGTAATCTGATGGCTTTTGCAAGATCTCACATGAAATCAGTGTTGATCATTTAAAAAACAAACAAACCCAATCTCTTAATTTATTCTTTTTTCAGAGTGCATGGAGAAAACTCTAATTCCGTAGTGGAACTGCTTAAAAAGTAGAATGGTGCAATGTTTTGTCTCTGCATCCAGAATTCACTTTTCTTTGTCAACCTTGAGGATGGATCTTTCCATGGAAAGTTTTCTGATAGAATTAATTTCTTTGAAGTGGCTTTCCAGACTGAGCACGTGTGGGAAAGCTCAGGAACAAAGCCAATTATCCAGAATGCTGCACATAATTTTGGAACCAACAGACTCTAAATGAAAACAAATTTTTCCAGGGATGTCATTGTATTTAACACACACCCGATCCCCCTTCTCCAGGGTGAACGAGTATTAATCTTCCCAGAGGGAAACAAAGATAGGGGGTGTCATTGTCCCCATAATAGAAATATTAGCAATTTGTCTCTCTAAAAGCTCACCCAGGAATATAAATGGCCTTCCTGTCACCGCAGTTATTTATGAAACTACTTCACAGGAAGAACTGCAGGCGCTGTCTTAAATCTGTGGCAACTTCACTCCTGCAAGCAGCTGATGAACTGGGACAGGGACTGTCAAAGAAGCAAAGGCCAACAGGTCTTTAGGCTGAACAAGGGGGCCGGATTCAGTTCCGAGGAGTGAATTCCCATGGAATTTGGAAATTTGATTTGGAGTTGGTTGATCTCCAACGTATTGGAGCTTAATTGGCTAACTGGAAAGTGGATTCTGGCTTCAAATGCCTGTTGGGAGAAATATCCATCTGGTTCAGTTCCAAGCCGGGAGGAAGATACTGGAAACATGGAGGCTGATTGGAAAGATGGTTTAATGGTGAAGCAGAAGCACATGGGTGGTTCTAGGCAGCAGAGTTGAGAGTAGGTGGGGGGTTATACCTTCTCTTGGGGTTTGAACTTGAGCTTCCTGTTTCTGTGAAAGAATATGTATTCTATTGGCTGCTGTCGGACTCCCATGGGGTTATGCAGGGGTCATGGCTGAGGTTGTCTCCCAGGTTTGGTTGAAGCTTGACTGATGCAATGTCCTTAGGAGATTGTGCCATATGGTGAGCTCTGCTGCTAGATGGGTTAATCCTATTATGTCCTGGAGGGTCATGTCTTAATCCCATCACCCTGAAACTGGAGGTCTTTTGTCTAGTAGATAGTGTAGGAAGTTAGCACCCATCCCTCTCCTAGAAAATTGAAATAGCCTAGGAAATATAAAAAAGGCAGAATATTTCCTCTAAAAAGAGTAGAAACTCAGAAGCAGAAACTTACCTCAGAAGCAGAAACTCACCCCCACCTTGGTTAATGGGTGGGCCATTCAGGCCTGGGCCAGAATACTTTACATAACAAAAATCTCCAGGTAAAGCTATAGCAATTGCCAAAAGCCCTTTTAAGAGCATAAATCATCCAGCAAGGCTCAACCAAGCCTGGCACTCAGGACAGCCTACAGAGTTGCGCCTGCATGGCCCCATGGGGGTCTGACAACCAATTAGAATACAAGCTCAAATTCAAATCCCAACAGGGTATAAAACCCTGGCAGTCTCAGCACCTCAGTCCTTTTTCTTGAT